CTCCCGGGGCCTGGCCCACCTGGCAGTCCAGGCATCCCTGCCCTCCCACTGCCCGGAGTCCCAGAGCACCTGTTACCAAGGCTGTGAGCTGCTCCGCTCTCCCTGAGGCTGGCCTTCCCCAGGGCCGGCATGGGGCAGCAGGGTGGCGATGTCCAGCCAAGAGGCCACTAAGTGCTCTCCCACCTGCCAAGGCCCTGGGCAGTGCAGAGGGCTCAGGGCTCTGTAAGAACTGTGTTTGCTGACCCCAGGGAGTCCTTTCTGGACCAGGAGCCAGATGAGGCCTCGTCTTATATCCTCCGTGAGGGAGGGAGGGAGACAGCACCAAGCCTCGAGGTTACTTCGGTGCACCCCAGTTCTTGGGCACGCACACGTGGCATGTTCAGGGAGCTTTCTGCACGTGCACCTGGAACCCCCTCACCACTACTGCTGTGCCACCTGGCTCCCTCTCCTTCACCCCTAAACTCGGTGTCTGTTCTAGAGGGGAGGTGGCAGCGGCAGGCACCCCCAGAGCTACCCCATGTGCTGTGTAGGGAGTGGTCAGTGTGGCCTGCAGCCCCCCCACCCGTCCCAGCAAGTTCCTTCCTGCCTCAGCTTCCGGGGCTCTTCCTCTTCTGTTCCCCTCCTCCAGCCAAGGGCAGGGCCTGCTCCACCAGACCCACCCTGCCAGCAAGGCCCCTCCACCTCTAGGCTCAACTCTTCCCCAAATATTGCCCACGCTGCTCAAGGCCCCCAAGCCTATGCGGGAGTCCAGCCTGGACACCCTCCTCCGGCTCTCCTGCCCCTGGGCACCCTCCGTGTCCTCTGTTCCTTGCCCAGGGTGCAGGCCCTTCCTCTGCCCAGACTCTCCCGCCTCCAGGGTGGTGCCAGCCGTTCCCTCATATCCAGCCCACCCTGCACATGGCCGGGCCGCAGGTCAGTCTGTTGCCAGGCGTACAACTCACTTTGTCCCTCCCCTCACACGGCTGGCCTGTGTCCTGCTCTGACACTGCCACCACCCAGTCCCCTCGGCCAGAGACTCCCCTGGAGTCAGGAGTCCCCTGACGTCATCCGCCCACAGGATAAGCCAGAGTTCCTGTGGCTCTCCACTCCCACCCCCTTCTTTCTGGGGAAGGGACGAGAGCACAGCCCTCACAAAGGGCTGGGGGCCTTGCTGGAGGCTGGAGGCCGTGTGCCCACCACTCCAGGACACAGCACAGCTGCCAGGGACAGCGGCCCTGCCAGGCACGGACCCCACCTGAAGGCTGCAGCTGGGAGCTGTCTGCGTTCACAAGTGGTGCCTAAGGTGCCCTGTCTTGTCACAGCAGCCCAAGTGCAGGTCTCCAGTCCGAGTCCAGACCTGCTGCTCCGGCCTCGTACCTGGTCCTCTGTCTCCAGGCTCCGCCCACAGGTGGGAAGACCCCCAGGAAGCAGCACGGAGAAACACCTTCCCACCCCAGCCCCGCCTGGGTGTGTCCAGGGCCTGTGCTGGCCTCCACGCTGCCCTGCTCAGGCCACATCTCACCCTGGGGGCGGCAGGGGGCAGTGCGCAGTTATTAGGAAGGCAGCAGTGAAGATGTTCGCTGCCTCCCGGAGCCGAGCCGGGCCCAGAGCTGGGCTGAAAAGATGAGCAGATGCCCCCTTCACGCAGGAACACGACAGCAGGAAGGTGAGTCCGAGAGCTCGGGAGAGTGTGTGCCCCGCCCAGGATCAGAGGCAGCGCTTCAAAAGCCAGCGAGAGCTGGGACGCGCAGGCAGTAGGGGCAGCCCATTTATTGATCCAAGAACAGACAAGAGGCTGAGCGTGCTTCCCTGCTGAGCTCTCCCGAGCCCGCCAAGAGGCAGAGGCAGTCTTTCTGGGTTGGCACCAGTAAGGGACTGGCCCAGGCCCGGAGCTCAGAGCTCCAGCTGACTGGCCTGTGGTGGAAGCAGCCTGGGCAGCAGACCAGCCCGAGGACCCACCCGATCAGTAGCTCGGGCCCGGCCCAGCACTGCTCAGGCCCCTGGGC